CCTGTGTATTCTTCTTTACTTCACCTCCTGCGCTGCCTGGTCAGCAGTGTTCCCTGGTTTCGTTTTCCTGAACAGAGATCCTCAACTATAATGAACGTTACTGTGCTTCCCACCAGGGCTGTTTCTGTTAGACCACTTGGGCAGCAACAGGTTGTTCTGTGCAGAATCACAGTTCAGACCATGCAAAGAGCAGAACACACCACCACTCCCTGACTTAATGCTGCAGTTGCTCCAACTCTTTCCTCACACATTCACCATTTTGTCAGTAGTTTTTCATTGCTTAACGAAAGTGGGAAAGGTTACATTTTCCTCCAGTACCTCCCCTGCACCAGCCCTGACATCTCGTTTATTTCTTGTGGACTATTGGCACTGGGATACAAATGAAACACACAATCTCCATGCTGCTGGTGAAGCACTTGCTGTTGCTAATTATGGCATTCAGCTTTCAACTCCTCTGTCCTCCTCAGCAAGGCCTCCAAGCTGCCCTAAGTGCTGCTCTGCAATCACTCAGCATCCTCTGTAACAGCAAACAGGAAAGGCAGGAGGCGTTAAGGTCCCAGCCTAGCTCTTCAGTTGCTGGGACAGAAGGGATAAGAATAGGATCAAGGAACACCCAGTAAGATGGTTTCAAGGTTCAGCCCCATACCAATCCCTGACAGAGGCAGAGTACAGCAGTACCCCAAGAATTCCCCTCTGCCACTATGCTGCATGCTCAGCAGACCACAGAAACCTTGTCTTCCTGGACCACTATATTGAGAAAAACAAACAAGATGCACAATAAATTCAAATATTTGAACTAACCAACCTCAAGAGCAACTTGGCCAGCTGACTAAATATTGTGCATCACTAGGGTTTCAGCAAAGGACTCCATGTGAGGATACCTGACTCTAGACCAAGCTTGGTCATGGCCCTCCAGGAAATCACTTCAACTTGTTCAAGTTGTTTTCCATTATCCATTTTCTCTCCTGGGAAGCAAAGGTGATTCTCACATTTTCAGATCGCTAAAGAAAAGGCAAAGGAAGAAATGAAAAAGCCTTTTCTGCCTTGGATCCAAAATGTTGTGCTCCCTTGTTTAACACGGAGATGGCACTACATTGTGTCAAGCTACACTCACAGCGTATTGTTTCTTCAACAGGACTTCAGCAACCTGGACAAGAAGTGATCTGTGTAAGAGGCTCTGTGCTTCAGTTCCAATGCTTTTACCTTCACTACCTTCTAGCTTATTGATCTGCTCCTGCTGGAGCTCTTTGTCCTGCTTTAGTCAATTCACAGACCGAGCGAGCGATTCAATGATCTGAGTAGATGGGCAAAAACAGATTTTGTGTGAGAACAACTTAGTTCAGGAAAGAACATAGTTAGTAGGCTGGTTCAACTTCATAAGCTGGAAATACAGGGAGACCTAGAGAGAACAAACCTTAATTCTAAGTAAGACTGATAGGATCCTTCTGCACTCCTCCAACAGAGGGCTCGGATACAATAAAAAACAACTCTTGCAGTTCTAGAGGACGGAAGAGAACTCCACAAAGAAAGAAGTTTGCATATCTGAAGTAGTTCTGTCCCCAGGAACTTGCAGATCTGGTGTCTTGAGACTTCATAAAACTCAGGACTAATGGTTAGAAAATGTTGTGAGAACTATAGAGATTATGTTAACCTCTTATGAAGATTAGGGCAAGGAGATCCTAATGTGAGGCTTGGTCTCCAGTGGAGCAAATGTATTCGTGGGGAATAGACAAGCTGCAAAGAACACATACTTTCAGATGGGGATGGAGAAAGGATTATCAGCACAGAGGCCTTGCTAACTTTTTCAGTGCGCAGCATCCACCCACACAGGAAGGTGGGGCTTTCAAACAGTGTATGATGAAAGAAAAATATGCACAATAGAGTTGTACAGCACAGATGGGCACACAGTCCAACTGCGCTAGGAAAACTTGCTCTTAACGGAGAGGCGATCTCGCCAGAGCCCTCAAATCACCTTGGCTTGGGATGGCTGCTGGCTCCCCTGTTGCCTGGCTGCGGCGTGGCTGACGCACGCGGGTGTGACATGGCTGCTGGGCGCCAGGAAGGCTTTCCTCAGTCGCAGCATTCTCAGGGCCTGGTCTGTCAAGCTGCAAACCCACCCCAGAGCAAAAGCAACAGCCACTACCAGGGGCTGCGAAGGAAGGAGCCCAGCGCGGGCTGCAGCCACATCA